CTAGTAAATAACTTTAAGTTTATTTATTAGTAAATAACTTTACTATTAATACCTAAGCTTATTTACTAGTAGATAACTTTAGCTTAACTTAAGTTTATCTACTAGTGGATAACTTTAGCTTAACTTAGGCTTATCTACTAGTAGATAACTTTAAGTTTATCTACTAGTAGATAACTTTAGTTTAAAAAAAACCTATTTTTTCTAACCCTTTACCCTAACTACTAGTATAGTTTAGCTACTATTATAGTTATTAAAGAGTATAGATTTATATAAATAGTATTTACCTAGGTTTATAAAAGCTATATTAATAGTATAAGCTAGTCTTTTAAAAAAGCTATACTTATTTTTATAATCTTTTAAGAGTTTAGGTCTAAATAATATATATATAAATTTATTATTTTTTCCTTTACTACTAGTAAAGCTTTTATTACCTTTATACTATATATACTTTACTTTTATATATATATTATATTTAGTACTAAAGTGGCTTTTAATATTAAGGATCTATTAGGTAGTTAAAGGCTTTATAATATATACCTTCTTATTACTTATTATAGTAAATTAAAGTATATAATATTCTTTAGGCTTTTATTAGTACCTCTTTTTAATATTATAAGGATATATAAAGTCTTTAGGCTTATCCTTTTTATATTTTTTATTATTATAAGGTATACTATATATAAAAGCTAATTTTAAGGGTTATAGCTTATTACTTATATAGAGGGAGGTCTTATATTCTAATAAGGTTATTTTTAGTCTTTTACCTTAAGTAATATAAACTTTATTCTTATATAGCTATAATAAAGCCTATTTTAAATATAACTTTAGTTTAATAGTTTTAAAGAAATTATTAATTATAAGATAACTATTAGTTAATAGTATATTAAGTATATTTATATAATTATATACTACTTCTTAATTCTTAAGCTATTTCTTAATACTTATATTCCCTTAATATATATTTTATAGTATACTCTTATAAGTATAGTCTACCTTAACCTCTATATATACTATATTTAAAGTAATAATTAACTTAAGCCTTTTAACTAATTAGTAAATAATATACCCTTTTAGGTATTCTTTTTTAAGCTTATTATATATTTTAATTATTAAATAGGGATTAATAAATAATATAATAAGTTTATAGACCTTATTTAGCTTAGTTTTACTCTCTTTATATACTTATAAGGTAATCTTATATTCTTATTACTCTTAATTAGATAAGGCTTTAAGTATATTAAGTATTTTAAAGTTTATTTTAATAGGTTTTTTAAGCTTTATAACTTTATAAAATTCTACTTTATATATCTTAATCTCTATAGGTATATTAAGAGGGTTTAATATATTTTTAATATTATTCTCTTTTATAAGATTAATAATTATTTATATACTTATTATAAAAGATTAGAAAATTTAGATTTAATTAAACTAACTTTCTAAATTATATTATTTAAGTCTAAGTAAGACTATAGCTTTAATATAAGATAATATAATAAAATAATAGAATAATAAAATATTATATAATAATAATAATAATAATAATAATAATAATAATAATAATAATAATAATAATAATAATAGATAAAATAATAAATAAAAAAAAGGATCTATATAATATAAATATTATAAGAAGTTTTAAATTATAATAAATACCTTATATAATTAGAACCTTTTAGGCTTATAACTATAAAGTATTAATATAGTTATATAAAATAATAGTATAGTTAATATAGTTTATAAAAAAATAATAGAAAGTAAAGATAATAAGGAAAATTAGCCTTATATTAGATAAAGCTATAAAGGATAACTAGTTAATTTATATATCCTATTTCCTAGCCTTAGGCTATATAATTTAAGTTATAAGATAATACTATATCTTAGGATACCTAAGGTTATTGCTTATCTATACTTATTATCGGTATAGATAAGATAAGCTCTCTTATCGAGGCAGTGCTCTGTGCGATAGGACCAAAGGATAGGTACCCGTCCAACCCACATGCCCTCCAAACTGATTCATGAAATCCATGTAATACTCCTCGATGGTCTTGGTCTGGTTAAGGCTCCAGGGCTCCTGGGACTTATACTGCTCGTGTTCCGAGTCGAACCATCCTGCGAGCTGTGGCTGCCCCGGGCTTGCTTTGAACTGATCAAAGGTCGAGTTGTAGTTTGAGTTGTTGAACCACTGCTTTTCGGGCATCTTCTGCTTGAAGCTTTCCACAGTGACGTCGGACCAGAATCCGGCACCGTAGTCCCCAGTGGTCTTAAAACCAGGGACCTGGACTGCTGACTTGACTTGACTCCAGGAGATACCCCCCAAGGCTGAAATTTCAAATTCGTTGCGCCATTTGCGTCCTTGCAACAGAGTCCCATCAGAGTCGGTCATGTGAGGTAACGCTTGGATTTCGTATATCCAGCCACCCTCCTTGCTAGCCATATTTGCGTATCCAAGTGCCGTCCCGAAGAATCTGGTTGTAGATACATACGCGGTAACTCTTTTACCATCCACCAGCTTATAGCCCAAGTGGTGCATATAAAGACTAAAGCCATTGTTCTCATTAGTTGGTGTAACTTCAGAGCTTGGCAAGAAACCGCCAATAGCTTCGATCTCCTTGGGTGACCTCTTGTCACCACGATACACAATTTGGGGTGGCGGTAGTATCGCAGGCGGAGGAAATTCCCGTCTTGCGCCAAGTGCACGCTCGTCTAGACGGTCAAAGTCGTTGATATCAATGGCACCTAAGAGCTCGGAAGGGCCTCGGAGTTCACCCTTAACGTCTGACGGCAATGATTCAACAGGCTGAGCATAAACTTGAGAGTACAAGCCTACTGCAAGGGCAAGTAAACCGAAGAGCCGGCCGTGTCGTGCCATACTGATAGATATGCAGTTCTGTGGTCGAATTCGTTGATAGAGGGAAGTGAGAGGAAAATAGGTGTCCTAAATTGTGGTAGATCTTGATAGTAGCACTGCCGAGTCTAAGAGTTAAATTCAAGGACGGGAATGAGCTTAATATATGTTTCTCTAAACATTTACCTATCAATTGAATTATGAGCCGTGACTCGCAGTATTAACAGACAATTTGCTTTACGGCTTGTCCGGGTTGGGTGCTCCTGACTCAGTCAGTAATCAGGAAATTCAAGGGTCTACGCATTGTTCAAACACGACAGAGTCTGTCTTGGTCTTTGTCTGGTCTAGACCGCCAAGACTTGGTCTGGTCTGGCCAATTCTCCAGACCATGGTCTGATCGTTGATAGAGCACCGCTGCTATAGAGGCGTCGCGCCAGCAGGGGCCTTAGTTGAAGATATTCCTAACCCTGCTAATTACTGACAGGAGCTTTTAATTTCTCGCTTTTTTATAAGAACTGGTGAAAGAAACTCCCGGCCGGCTTGGCTAGGATTTTCTCTCCAATAATTGGTAGAGGGAAATTGAGGCGTTGCAATAACAGCCAAAAAAAATCGCGGTCAAACGACGATTCCGATGGACGAGAGTCTTAGGAGGACCACGCGCCTGCATCAGGAGGTTAGGAGCGGCCTGTGAACACGCAGCAAAGCACAAGAGCAGAACGTCTCGGATTCGAGCTGTAATTAAAAACGCACCCCATCCATGTCTTTGTGATATTTTGGAGTTGTTGATATTTTACGGGCGCCAAATCAGCAGCAGGTTGGCAGTTGGTGGGTCATGGCAAGCGGGCATAACGGCCCGTTTACAGAATTTTTTTCCCTTTTCAAGTCCCTCTTAGCACATTAACGTTAATATCAAGCGACGAAACAGGATCAGGAAGTATACGAGTCATCACGACAGATAACTGTATCGAGTCAGAAGAGCTTGAAAAAGGTTGGCTCGCTGTTGAAGGGGTCAGGCCATCTGCGAGAACAGGCGGAGAAGGCCCTGGTCTTGTCTTAGTTTGGCGGCGGTCTAGTCTGGTCTACTGCCCGACTTCTAGAAAATCGAACAGTGCCTCCCTCTTACGTGTTACATTTGACTCCTGCTCCGTTATCGCGATCTGACCAAGAAGCCACAGCGCATTGTCACCAGGCATCGCCCATACCTACGGCCTTTCGCAAAACCTATACAATTTAATAAAATAGCCTAAAGCAAGGAATCCGAATGGAGTCTGTAGTTTTTTCGTGCAGAAGCCACGTGAGGAAGCTAAGTCAACATGTGGCGTCCGTCAGCTCCGTTAATAATCCGAGGCGGTTCTCCGGACTAGAGGGGGCGGGTAGGAAACTCCGGATTCTCCAAATACCATCAATATTATCTAACTCGCCTACCGACCATGGTGACAAGAGGGAGCAGCACAGCCCATCATCCGGCGGGGGATCCGACACACATTTCCGAGACGTCCACTTCCAGTCTAAACAACACAGGCGCTGGGCCACGCAATAAACGTCCGACACCTCGACAGGCGGGCTCGGAAGCCGCCGGAAATCGCCGCAAGCTGCAAAAGGTCAGCCGGGCTTGCGACTACTGCAAATTAAAGAAGCTGAGGTGCACCGGAAATGTCCCCTGTGAAGTGTGCGCTAAGAAGCGCTTGCATTGTCTTTACGATGCCCAGTACCGACGCGGCCGCCCACCAACACCACAAGCTGGAGAGACGACAGTCCGGCATCACGCAACTCAGACGCCGCCGGCCGGCGGAGTCTCGAGGTATGGTTTCCTTTGCGTCCCATAACTTGCACTGTGCTGACCTGAGTAAAAAAGTCAGTCGGACATCGCCGTTGAAAGGACTGGTCCCGAACCAGGCGGTGAGTTCTCGAATGCTTCTGTAGGCGAGGGGCCCCAGAGTCGGGCCTCGCCAGAACTCGAGACTGCCGAACTTGAAGGCCAATTTTTCGACCTCAATTCAAATTTCGCATTTCTACACCGAGCCTGGAAGAGATTTTCCTGCCAGAAGGGAGGAACAATTCCTGATGTTCTCACTGGCTCTGAGCGCTCACAGCCTCTCGTGTCGGCTGGAGACCGGCCGTTGCTCGTCCCCTCTGGCGAAACGGTGCGGATTCCGGATCGCCAAGGTGCAACGCAACTATTTGAGTTTTACTTTGAAAATTGCGTTGTCACATATCGCTGTCTCCATCGCCAGTATTGCGCGTCGTTTCTCCAACCTGTGCTTCACAATGCACAGCAAAACCTACCTCTGCACCACAACATCGGCCATGCCAAGGCCGCGCTTATTATCAACATTTTTGCCATTGCGAGCCTTCGAAAAGAAAAGACCTCCGGATCCACATCCCCGTATAACGTGAATCAAGTACCATTGAGTGACAGCGACCATTACTTCTGCGAGGCGCTCCGTCTCACAACCGCCGAGACTGGTCTTCCGCGCTTAGAGTCTGTCCAAGCAAGGATGTTGCAGGTACTTTTCCTCCTACAAACTGGCCGAATGAACCAGGCATGGTACATATTTGGGGGCACAGTTCCTATCGTTTCTGCCCTTGGCCTCCATAGAACCTCTGGGCGAGGTGGAAGCCGAAATGTCGCGGGTGTCAAGACGGACTACATTGTCTTGCAATGCCGCCGACGCACATTCTGGGTCGTATACATCATTGATAAATACCTTTCAGTTGTTTTTGGAAGACCCAGGCTGTTACATGACGATGATATTAACCAGGAGTATCCCGATCATGTCAATGATGAAGACATGAACTCGCATGGGCCCTCTGCATCTGCCCCAACATTTGACTGCCATATCGACTCGCTAATAGCGCACGCAAAGTATGCCATTCCTTTTCCTATAATTTACACGCCATTGCTGATTAGACCAGGATTGCTCGAATCATCGACAATATATCGAGAGAAGTCTACTCTCTGAAGCCGGTTCCGACGCTTGAAAAGTTTAATGCGGCCAAAAAATTCCGTCATCAGCTCCACGATTGGCGCCGGGGTCTGCCTGCCTATCTTGGAACTATTCAACCACGAAGCCTCATACCTTCTTTCTGTCGGCAAGCAATAGCATTGAAGCTGGCATATTGCCACGCCGTGATGCATGCAAATCGGCCTTTCATCCTCGGCTACAATCGCCAGTCAGCCTCGTCATCAATAGACGAAATCGTTTCAGAATGCATCAGCGCAGCTAAGATGGCTCTGGAGACCGTTGATGATATTATGAGCGATGGTATGCTCTTCCACGCCTTCTGGTGGACGCCATATGCCACGTTTTGCGCCGTGGCTGTCGTCTACGTGTGGGAGATTCAACAAAGGGGCCGCGGTGGTGACGTCGGCAGTGATCCATTACTCATGGAACTAGCAGAGCGCTGTCATAAACACCTATACCAGGCTGCGGCTACATACTCCCTTGGGCTTCGGTACAGCATCATCCTCGAAGAGCTCCGCTTGCAGGCAAGACAGGGCTCGGTGGAGCTCGCTCAGCACCAGTTTGCGGATACAGTTGGCATCGCAGTGGTACAGGATAATGCACTAGATATCGGTCCTGGTTCGGGCGCAGTGGGTCTGGACGTGAGCCAGATGCCAAATGACATAGATGCTGTTCCTCTCCCTCCCCTCAACGAATGGCAGCTTGCGGATTGGCTTGACCTCGACTCATCAGTAAGCGAACCCCACAGAGTAACCTCTTCACATTCACAGTCTTCTGATTATTATTCTAGGCATTGGTTCCGATTTCCGATCTCGAGAATTTTCCAGTTATCTGGGATGTGTAACAAATGGCAGCGTGGTGGCTTGCCCCAATCGACGCCGGCAGGTGGTAGTGGTAGTTGCGTTGGCGGCGGAATTCATCACATCTTAATAAGGGACACCTATTCTAGACATTGCCGCTTTTTTTTTTACAAGATTGACATAGCTTACCATCTATGTACCAAGACTTCGCACGTTTCGCATTTATCATCTCAGAGCCTGGCGCACGGTCGGGGGTGAGGAAGAAGAGGGCGATAACGTAGCCCTCAGGGACGTCCCGTTCCTCAGCTTATAGATCTGAAACGTTCTGAATTTATCGCAGGGATACTAAGCTTGGGAGACCTCTTGAGCTAGTTACTGGGAACTTTTTTTCCCCTAAAGAGCGTACTTGAACAACGGGCTCTTCTCGCCCATGTGGTGCATTTCTTCTTCCGTGTATCTCTCCCTGACCTCCTCGTCCGTCATCAGCGCTTTCTTCTGGTTGCTCCGCCGAAGCAGAAATTCCAGCAATGTCGCGGCCACAATTCCGGTGGTTGCAAATGTAAGCGATGTTCCATATCCAGTGGGGTAGCGCGGCGCTTCTCGGTCAAGGTAGATGTAGGATCCAATGAGGCCACCAATGTTGCCAATACACACAAGAAGCCCAATGCTGATAGAGCGCTTGGTAGGATCAGGGGTATTTGCAATATTCCATGCATTTACGCCCGGCAGTATGGGGTAGAGCCTAACATTTGTCGTTAGTGAAGCTCCGAAGCGTGGTGCTTGTGCCGGTGCCGGTTCCGGGTGAGACTCACCCGAACATTGATAAGCAGATAGCAAAGTAGGCGGCGGCAACGTTATTCTTGATGTCCGAGGACAGGGCATACAAGGCAGAGAATGCGACCACAACACAAGTTTGTGGACCGACGAGAAAGATATCTCCAGGAATACTTGTCCGCAAATATAGCAAAAAGGTACGCGGAGATAGCACCGAGAACGTAAGGAGGGATAGTAAGCAGCTGTGCGTTAGCCGGTTTGTACCCCATTGAGGTGAGTATTGTTGGCATGGTGAACTTCATTGCGTAGTTTGGCACTGCATTTGACCAGTTGGCAAAGGCAAGAAGGTAGATCTTGTAATCGCATAAAATGTCTTTGAAGATGGCCAGGTTAAAGTGTTTCTTTGCGTTGTCGCGAGGGATACCAGGCCGACGGGCAAGCTGCCGTAGTTCCAGATAGCGAATCTCATCGGCATCCAGCCAGCGTGTTGAGAGTGCAGGAGAGTCGCAGAGCATCAAGAAGCACAGCGCGCCTGCGGTGACTGTGAAGATGCCCTCCAGAATGAAGATCCATCGCCAACCATCAAGTCCAGCAATGCCGTCCATCTTACCAATCGCAAAGGCAAGAAGACCGGAGAAGGCACCGCCAGTTGCGGCGGATGTGTACAAGATTGCGATGCGGACTTGGGTCTCTTGAGGAAGATACCAATTGGAGATGATGAGGATGGCACCGGGAAGGAAGCCGGCTCTGGCACAGAATTAGTAAAGGAAAGCCATCAGTATCATCAAGTGAACAACGTACTCGAATATTCCCAACAAAAAGCGAGTCGCAAGCAGTCCGGCGTAGCTTTGTACAATACCGGTCAGAGTCATAATGATGCCCCATGCGATGACGATACCTCCCATATAGACGGACGGCCTGGGGACCTTGTGTAGAATCATGTTTGATGGAACCTCTTGAAAGAAATTTAGAGACTGTTTAGTGTTTCGTAAAGAATGGAGTGGCTCAGCATACCAAAAAGGATGAATGGGATAAAGAAAATCGCGACAGCCACATTGTACATGATGCCATGCATGTTGAGGTCAGCCGTCATGCCCTCGATTTTCGCATTGCCTTTGGGTAACCGTTAGTTGGGCCAAGAATAGCGTGGCAAGTCATGAAGCAGTACCAATATTGGTTTTATCCAAATACGCCATGAGGTAGAGCAGAATAAGCACGGGCAACAACCGCAACTAGTGTCTAATTAACATCTTGCTTTTAGCAATATCCAAATGTAGTCACTCACATCAATTTTCCGAATAACAATCTCCTTGCGCTTGTCGCTGAAGCTTTCAAGAAAATCGACGTCGTCCTGCGACATGTTGCAGGAATACTCATGGTGAATGGCTTTACCCTTCTCGATTGTAGACTGTTCCAAATCTCGCGATTCTGCTGCCGGCCGCATGGTATCCATTGGAGTAGTATGGTGTTCTAGAGAGTAGTTGGACAAAGATTGGGTGGAATAGTCAAGCTCGAGAGAACTGAACTTGTTTGGGGTGAATCTTGGCGGGGGGCAGGATCTTGAAATAATACTGATTCGAAGAGCTCAGACCCCGGACATTGGGTTCCCCGGATTATTGGACAAATGGGGTTCTCCTACCTGGGATTGGTGGTTGTTGACAATGTTGACAAGGTTGATGACCATGTCCGTGCGTGGCTTTCCCCAGGAATCAGCAAAACCAGTAGATCCGTGGTTTGCACGTCGCCCGTTGCACACGACTCAGGGGTTGGTCGTAGTGTGTTCGAATCCGGAGTCCGGAAACCCGGAAATCTACTAGTGACAACGCTTATCCGGTTCGCTCAGGTGAGCTATCCGGAAACTTGTGCCTACTAGCTAGCACGCAAGATCCGGGGGAATATGTCTTAGCATCTCCAAAGAATTCGGATCATTTTGACCGGAGACAGTGACCCGAGGACGTCGAAGTGCTGGCGGCAAGTAGCCCAGCTTGCCAACTATAAAGACAGCCCTGAGAGCAATCTACATTCCAGCATTCAAGCAACACCAGAACCAATCAACTAGACACCTCTTGCAACTCACGCTTTTTTGTCCAACAACGTCCAATATGTCCATCGATCTCAAGGGACTCGTTCCGGCGCCGGTCACGCCTTTCACCAAAGATGGCGCCGTGGACTACGAGGCCATTCAGCGCCTCGGGTCTTGGCTCGGCAGCCAAAAGGGCGTCAAAGGCCTTGTGGTCCTAGGGCATGCGGGAGAAGGCACTTTCCTCACCCAGCAGGAGCAAGTCGACACCATTAAAGCCTTTGTCAAGTCTGTCAACAACAAGATCCCCATCATAGCCGGCATCACAGGCGAAGGAACAGATGTCGCCGCGCAAGAAGCCAAGCGCGCTAAAGAGGCGGGCGCTCAGGCCGGCCTTCTCTACCCGTCTCACGGCTGGCTACGCTTTGGGTACCAGCCCGGCGCACCCCAGGATCGCTACAGGGTAGTCTACGAGGTCTCGCAGCTACCTCTGATCCTCTTCCAGTATCCCGACAATACAAAGGCCAACTACAGCTTGCAAACCCTCCTCGACATTTCTGCGCAGCCTGGTGTTATTGCGATGAAAAATGGCGTGAGAAACATGAGGCGATGGGATACAGAGATTCCCATCTTCCGCCGGGAGCGACCAAACGTGCCCGTCCTGACCTGCCACGACGAGTACCTCTTGCACACGGTCTTTGACGTGGACGGCATGCTCGTCGGCTACGGAAATATTGCGCCCGAATCGCTGTACGAGATGATTCTGGCCGGCAAGTCCAAGGACTACAAGCGCGCAAGGGAGCTGCACGACCAACTCCTGCCAGTTACCAAGGCAGTGTACCACAGAGGTTCGCATATGGAAGGCACCGTGGCTTTGAAGCATGCCCTTGTTGCGCGGGGAATTTTGTCGCATGCGACTTTGAGGTCGCCGCCGATGCCGCTTCCAGACGGCGCCGAGGCGGAGATTCACTCTGCAATCGCCTCCGCAGCGCTCAGCAAAGTTGCATAAGAGCCTCAACTTCGGTTGCCCATCCTGTTGCGTTCTAGTCGCGCTACTGATAGAGCTAGATTACAGTAGATGACTGGTGGCTCAAGGCAGTCATGTGGTATACGTGCTCAACACACATAGATAGTTAAATATACCGATCAAGTGCAGATCTAGATTAGATGTTCAAGAAGCCTCGTCAGAGTAATTGTGCGCATTGTCGGTAATTCTTGTGAAAATCCACCGTAAATAACGAAATAGTGTAATTTCCCGTTATCGTTATCGGCCTAATAAACAGGCTCGTAGGGATATACCATGACCCTAATAGAGAGCTTCTCCTCTTCCTCTTTAACCTGAACCGTGATGGTAGCAATATCGGTGAACCCTAATGACGAGTACAGCGCATGGCCCAAGGGACTGCTGAGCAATGTTACTGGCACTTGGTGTTGTTTGGCCCGTTCGATCCCCCACCTGCACAGCGCCGTTCCTGCTCCTTTGCGTTGAAACTCGGGAAGAGTGGCGAGAATTCTTAAATGCAGCTGGCGTGATTGATAGACCGAGTTGAAGTAAGTCTCCCTGGCTGCCCGCGTGGTGCTACCAAAGGCCGCCATGTGCTCAAAGTTGGCGTCTCGCCGGGCAGTTTTATCTCCTGCTTAAAAAAAAAGTAAGTATCGGACATTACAGAGAGAGAGGGGGGGGGCGCATAACGTACCTGTTGGTGTCAAGGAATACTTCTTGTCCTTGTCAGGTTCCACCTCCCACACTGCGAGGGCAGCGGGAACTTCGTCTTCCTCAGGCAGACCTGGTGCTGGAAAGGTCACCACTTTAACGACGACTCCCTGTGCCTCGAGAAATGACTTCATCATAAGACGCGTGTAGCCATAATTATCCTCAGGATACTGCTTGCGCAGAGGGAAGCGATAATCCCACTGCGGGTCCATGGGCATGGCGTAGCGGATGATGGCGGCCAACGCATCAACATCACCAGGCAGGGCGTCTCGGATATGCAGGTAGGCGGGATGAAGATTGGTCATGGTGGAGAGGGAGTGATGTGTCGCCTGAGGGGAGGGCTGGGAAAACCCCTTGTTGTTGGAAATAAGTCGTACTGACTGGACTTTATCTAGTTCGTCTCCTCCTTTCACCGGAGCGGCTTCATTTTGGCAGGGGTCGTGTCCAATGATGGAAAATGGTGGAATGCCTTTGTACGACCATGTTGGTGCAGACTCATGGTCACGGCCCACACACAGCGGACACAAGAGTCGCACCAACACAGTCACGGCAAGCCACCCCAACAACGTTGGCCCACGACTTCGTTCGGTCCGATTTATCCGACAGAACCTATACCTGTCTAGGACTTTCCAGTCTCTGACTCGGACCTCGAGCCAACTGCTACAGCTCTTCTGGATGCAGTGCTCCGAAGCATTATTCCTGCCTCCGCCGCAGATGATCTCTACTCGGCAATCGAAACTGACTCCTTATTTATTCATGACGTGTCTGACTCGAAATATTTCTGAAACATTGCTCTTTCTATATGCTTATTACACTTTTACGCGGAGCTTCCAGCCCGCCTTAGCCACTCGTGCCGCCACGGCCATGGCTGCTGCTAGCAGGATAGATGTCGCAGCAAACATCTGCGCCCCCAGGTAACCTCCACCCTCGCTTTCTATGATGGCGCCCGAAATGGCGGGTCCTGTGAGGTTTGCCAAGCTGACAAAGAACAGGATCATGCCAACACGGGTGCCCGTTTTACTTGGGTGTGGCGTCATGGTGGTGGCCACGGCAGGATAGAGGGCTTGAAGTGCGGCGGCGACCAATCCGTATATGACGGCGAACACATACAGTCCCGCTGAAGTTTGCACGGCTGCCCAACAGTACACCAATACACTCGAAACTAAGCCGATGATGATGATGAGGTTGAGCGCACCGCACCATTGGTCCGCAACAATGGTCGGTGAGATGCGACCTATCACGCCGACGCCGTTGAGCAGAATGAGAAGGTAAATAGGCTGCGCAACACCGATTCGATCGCGGGCAAATGTTCCGAGAAAGAAGAATGCAAAGTACAGCCCCCAAAAGGCAAAAAACATGCTGATGGTAAAGAAGATGAAGGGTACATCCTTGAAAGCCGCCATGTCGATCCAATCGGCAGTTTTCCTGGGCGGCAACCGGGGCTTGAATAAGAACAAGCATGGGATGTAACTGATAAGCATGATGAGGCCCATGCAGCGCATTGTCCAGCCGAAGCCGATCTTTTCATGAAATATAAGCCGGTTGATGAGAATCGGATACACAAGGCCGCCGACGGCCGCCCCAGCCGCCGAAAGACCGACGGCAAAGGCTCGACGCCTTTTAAAATACTGCGACAAGATGGCGAGCGCAGGGCAAAACACCAATCCGTTGCCGATACCCATGCAGACGGCCTGTGATAGGAAATAGTGCCAGTACCGCGTGCCGAGCGACGTCATGAAAACACCAAGCAGCTCGAGGAAGACGCCCGCGTAAAAGACGGGGTAGAAGTAGCCGGCATCGGTGGCGCGCCCCGAGACGACACCGATGCCAAACAGCAGGAACGTCTCGACGCTGCCGATCCAGGCAATGTCGCTGGGCGGACGGTCCAGCGCCGCGGTGTAGTATTCCTGGAAGACGCCATAGCCGTTGACGACGCCCCAGGTGTTGAAGAAGACAATGTGCATGAGCAGGACGTGGGTCCAGGCTTCTCGTCCGCCATCGGGTGGCTGCTTGGCGGCAGAGATGGTGGCTTCTAGCTTTTCCAACTGTCGCGGGTGGTCGACAGAGTCGTCCTGGCTGGCATATCCGGGAGTCGTTGCACCAGACTCTAGGTCTAGTGTGCTTGTGTGCGCCATGATGTCTGATGGTAATAGAGATGCATGTAATCTGGAATTCAATAAAACATTCAAGATCTATATGCATGTGGCTTTAAAGAGATTTCATCGTGTAAGAATCGAATTCTGCTTTAAACGTTCTGTCCCGCTCTATGCGTGGTTTCCGCTACTGCCGCCTTTCCCGACAGTGCCATTCCCGATGTAGGCGGCTGATGACTCCGCTTACTGTGGTGAAGATTCTACGCGCGGTGCTGGTACTCAAGGACCTCGGGGTAAAACTCTCATCTCTTTGCGAATCACAACCAACCAACACATCTCATAATTTCGCCTCGAGCCCACAAAATCACTGTTTTTTTCCTTAAGAAAATCTCTGCAGCCATCATCCAGCATCACTTCGACTCACTGCCACTCACTGGCCGGACTTTCCAACCTCCACCACAGTTGGCATCTCCACCAGTCTGCTTCCGTTTTACCCGTTCTCCGACCGCTGCTCATACGCACTCCATTAAGAAGCCAAGCCCGCAAGCCGCAGAGCCGGTGCCGGCCTACTATTCATGGCCTCGATGCAAGGGCGCAAGCGATCGCGGCTCGCCTGCCAGACATGCCGCGACCTGAAGCGTAAGTGCGACGGCGCCGAACCGTGCGGCACATGCGTGCGGTTCGAGTATCCGTGCCGCTACTCAGCCGGCAGCAGGATGCGCAACAAGACGGACCATACCACCCGCACTCACACGCCACCACGGAGTGCAGGCCCGCTGCCGCCGATGCACCCTTCACCTACGGATAATACGACACCCGCGTCCTCTGTGCAGCATCAGGCGCGGTCGCTCGAGGCCAACTCTGGACCTGCATTTGTACGCCGACTTGGCCTCAAATCTGATTCCAAGGGGAATCTGCGGGTGCAGACATTTGCGTGGAATGCGTTCCTCGGATCGCGACAGACTGTACAAAGTCCAATGGCGCGTCCGGTTACCGAGCTTTTATCTCAACAACGCATGTCATACCTCGCAGGTGTTTACTTCCAAAAACTCCATCCCACCTATAGCTTTCTCGATGCCGATGAGCTAGAGCAATACGTACGACTTCGCTGGGCAAAATCCAGCGCCCCAGAACCTATTGACGCTGTACTGTGTGGTGTCGCTGCTCTAGGGTGCCTTTTTTCGCAAGTGCACGCAGATGCGACCGAGCCTGGGCTTGTCGAGTCCGCAAAGCGCATGCTTGAAGAATCCTTCTCTCAGCCGCCTTCCGTGTCCAGTATCAGTGCATGGTTGCTGCGAGTCATATACTTACGACTTGCTGGAACGCATTACCCGGCATGGATGGCAAGTTGTACAGTACTGCATATGCTCGAGGCGGCAGGCCTGACAGTGGAAAACATAGATCCCGTTGTCCTGCGTCCGGACACAGAGGCGGCAAGCAACGTAGAGACGAATAGGAGATTGCTAGCCGTCTCACAACACCTCAACACATGGATGTCTTATGACATGGGTCTGACCCGCGTACCTCTCTCCGGCGTCACATGCGCCCTGCCCGCGAAACGACCAGGAGAGTGTACGACAGAGTTAATGGAGCTGCTCCCATTCACGATACAGTTAGATCCAGAAAGAACGCAACCAGCCTCTGAGCTTGAATCTGCACTGCAGATCGTTCTCGACCGCGTTCACACCCGCCCTTCCACAATCTTGGGGCAATGCAACCTTGCTCTCTGTCTTTGTCGCCGTTTACGTTCCATGGAGTTCTCACTACCCGACACCACCATCCAGCGAATCTTGATCTTGACAGCCAAGGGCATCCAATCCGCGCGTGATATTCTCATCGACCGCGCCCCGTGGCACCACATGGCGTACGTGCCCTTTCAGATTGTCTGCGTTTTGCTAGCAATCGATACAGTGTCATCCATTTCACAGCTTGGTGATGCGATGCAGTGTCTCAAAGATGTTACTGCCGTGTATAATACGCATGCTACCCGCGAAGCGATGCGAACGGCGCGCTCGCTCATTATGCTGCATCAGCGTGGCAAAGAAATGCTAGCCGCCACATTGAATGACATTGTCAAAGTGTACGACAATGCTGACGAGGATGCGGCGAATGCCGCACCGGCGCTAGCTGACGACTTTGCGTGGCTGAATGGTTTGCCGGATGACATGTCCAACATCCATGAGTTCAATTTGGAGCAATTCCTCAGTCCAGAATTCTTCTGGAATGCAAGCAGCAGTTAGTACAGTGATGTCACCTGGCATAGCTCGCATGGTGTACATTGGTTTATTAAAAATTGGAATATATTTCAGTAAAGGAGGAAACACGCTGCAAACGACGATGAACCCTATACCTGTAAATGCTCATGCAATAAAACAACCCTTCGTCGCCTATTACGTCTCTTTTGAGGTGCGACTTAGTTTCTTCCCTGGAACACGTCCTCGAACCAGTCATAGAGGACTTGATTTTGGTAGACAGCCGCGCCAACAGCGCAGTGCTCCCCGGCGCCTTCAGCAGCCTTGAAGTAGTGGATGACCTTGTTGGAGCTGCCAGTGACGGCATCGGCAAGTTGCTGAGCCTGACCAGGGAAGAACTGATCGAGCTCGGCGTCGCCAATAAAGATTGGCTGTTTTATCTTTCCAGCCACGCCCTCCAGGGTGTACTTCTGGACCAATGTGGCAAAGTCAAAGTAATCGTCGGCCTTGAAAGACCAGCGTCCCTGCTGGACAGCCCATCGAATCCCGGTAGGAGTGCTCGGGTCAGCAATAGCCTGTGCAAACAGATCGTTGAAATCCTTGCGGTTACCGTCCTTCAGCCATTGCTTCGCGATGGTAGGCAGCTGGCTGGTGAAGGTGGCCCCAAAGTCGTACACGCCATCAATGGCACCAACAGCGGCGATACGGGGCTCGAAAGCGGCAGCGCGGGAAGCCAGGTAGCCACCCAGCGAGTAGCCGATGGTGCCGATAGCCTTGGGGTCAACTTCATGGAGAGAGATGGCATAGTCGACGACTGGGGAGATGGCACGCTCCCAGTCGGGGATGAAGCCAATGTTCTGGTCACGGCGGACGCTGGGCTGGCCGGGGCCCTCGTATGTAATGACGTTGTAGCCGCGATCGAGGGCCGCCTTGCCAAAAATGTGAAACATTTCCTCCTGGGAGCCGTCGAAGCCGTTGCACATAAGGATGGTGGGGTGACGGCCAGGCTTGCCCGTGCCATAGAAGATGGCCGGGATCTTGAACTTACCATCCTTGGACTTGAGCGTCGTGCGGCGCCCCGGACTCGCCAGGAGAGGCAGTGCGTCGTTGAAGGCCTTTGTCTGTTTCTTCCAGAGACTGTCGATGCGCGGGTCGGCCCAGTTGCCGTGGAGAAAGAAGTCGGCGGCGCGGAAGTAGCTGGCCGCCTTGAGGCGCATGCCGCGGAACGAAGCAGGGTATTTTGTGCAGTCAATTGCCTGTCCCTGCTTGTCGACGCGCTCTGCGAGGCTGTTAAACGCCTTGTAGTAGCTTTCGAAATCGGACGCCTTGATTTGCTGCGCCGCAACGAGCACCTCGGCGATATCAGCGCCCTCGGCAAGAGCTAGCGATAGTGTACGGAGGATTTCGAAGTGAAAGGACTCGTCCGAGTTCAACAGAAGCATAGGATTGGCGGGCTCACTCGTCGGGGGGGCAGTTGAGTTCTGGGCCGCGACCAGGCATAGGGCAGCAGCACCAATGGCGCAAGTCGCCAGGCAGACCATGGCGAAGATGATGATGTGTAAAAGGCCGAGCGCTGTAGAAAAGTACAACTGCAGTGCAACTAGATTGTGCTGTGTGTAGTGGCGTTGTCTCGAATTATGTTGTCCTGAGTTATGGGAGATCTGAGCACCTGTTTATCTCGAAATAAGGGCGAGGTCGACGATATATATAAATGTTCATCGTTAAGCTGGTCACTGGCGATTTGTCTCCGGGGCCGACCACTAACAAGTCAACTAGGCTGAGCCCATCGACCACGCTAAAGCCGCTGTGGGAAGAGGTCATAAGGACCGGGATTGATATGCGGAATTGAGGACAGGGTAAGAGGGCGTGGAGCACATCGCGTAGCGACCAAGGTGCGGGACTAGGGGCCTTTTTTCTCAAGGCATTTCCCTTCTTTGTTCTTTGAGAGGGCGAGCGCTCGAACGCGAAACGGGTGAGTTTGGCACAATTTTTGGGGGAACTGGGATGCTTGGTAGGGATCCTGCTAGGAGGTTGCCTATTTGAGGAGTGAATCCCGTGTGCCAACGCGGGAAACCAGTCTGAACTAGGCATGCAGCAGTGCACATCGAGCCAGGCTTGCTATAGCAAAACAAAGCACCTGGTGTATCCCAGTAACACTCAGTAGTAATAGCCCACGAGGGCCTGCCAGTCGCGGAGCTGCAAGCACTACGCGACACAATCAGGAGAGAGTCCGCGCCAGAGTCTTTTCCATCATAGGCCATCACAAGTTCTCGTAGGCGCTATATACTAGCTCGGTTCAGAGGTGTGCGCTATGATAAACAGGATGTATTGATTCCGGCGCAAGCTCGAATTGGGAGAAATAGCATCATTCAACTAGTAACCAAATATATGTCGAGGTTCCAATATTCCGAGTCATTGCTCGGCAATTTGGCCACCAACTGCAGTACAACGTCATTACAAATGGAGCATGAAAAGGCAGGTCGAAATTGTCCACAGGATCGAATGTGAATCCCGCCCAACCGTGCTCGCAGAAGAGTCCTTCTTTGGAGAAGTGCTGCCGCCAGTTCCGCTTGGCCCGCTCGACGACAATGTTGTAGTTGCTCCCACTATACTGGACGTCGATGTGCCAGTAAAGGAGGTCGTTGGCGACACGGCGGCTCCCGCAAGGCTGCTGGCCGCCGCCTTGACGTCAAGGTTACAGGGCTGCGCCTCTGGTTGCGTAAGTAGATTGGGGCATGCAATCGAAGTATTGGCCACTTTTTCAGCGGTTCCCTTGAGCGCACAGCCCTGGTATTCGCGAATAGCATCCCTCGGCAGCTTGGCCCCGGGCCGCACTGTAAAGTACATTTTCCCTGTCCTCTTTCCAACACCGGACTGGATCAGTGTCGCATCGTCGGGCTGCTTGGAGCAGACAGTCCAGTAGTGGAACGCCCAGCTCAAGGCGCACGCATCCTCCGCGCCGCGCCAAGAGCCGTACGAGCCCTTGGGATCCTTGCTACCGCTAGGCAGAGCATCCTGCAGTGTCTTGGTGGAATTGAGGATATAGTACGCGCCCGACGGCACCTCGGCATACTTGTAGCCATTGATGGTGTCGCTGCCATACAGCGAGCCTTGCGCGCATTGAACCGACCACGAGAGCTCGGAATTGTAGGATAGCAATGCGGGCGCGTTTTGGTATCCAAAAATTACGGGAAATGGCGAGACGACTGCGTATGTGTCGTTTTGTGGAAAGACAATGGACATTTCGCCGACCTGGTCATTTGCGTCGTCGCCAAAGGAGGCGCAGGCCACCTGAGCCACCATGAGCAGCGCTGTAAAGGCGAGCGCGGTCGGGTTTCGCAACATGTCGAGTGAATCCCGTTTGTGCGTCTGAAATGAGGAGTCGTGCGCAGGTTTCTGCAAAATCAATGACGCAGGTGTGTGATGGATGAGAAACAAGCTACCCCCTCTTTCTAGGCACAAAGAAGTATATTCTCAGTCGCGTGAATTTCACCCGTGGACGTGTTCAATTAGAAAGGGCAAGTGCGGCTGAAGAGGCCCTGGACAGGGACCAGCGGCCGCCCACTTCGCTTGATTCACTGCTAGGATGGATGGCACATCGCGTCAGCACCTAATCAGAATCGCAATTAATTAATAAGAACTATTAAGGTGCTGACTGTATTTCTTCTCCTTCTGCATTCATTCTTTGTGTTTGTCCCGCCAGTACCTCCACGGCATCGTAGAAGAGTGGAAACCCATATCGGCACGAAATGCTGACTGCAGCAACCAAGGGAATAATATCGTCATTAGGGAGATCCGGGTTCCGGATGCCCTACGGAGTACTGTAAGCAGTGACGTAGCCGAGTACAGCGCAACAATAGTCTTGGTGTCCAGGTATTGAGATGCCGTGGTTGTAGGAATATGCAAATTGAAGTCGGGGCTTCCCTACACGTTCGTTAGGTGTTCTAGTTCTGAACATCTGACAGGTCCATCACGACGCTTAGAAGGGACCCCAAGGCTTACATCTCTAGCATCCAGTTATTAATAATAGTACTATTCTATAATATTGTGGATTGAACCTCTAATTCGCTGGTAAGCGCCGCACGACACAACATCTAGGGTAGCAGCACGCATTTTTAGACAACTTCGACCTCGACTAAACGGTATCTGGAAGGACGTCGTCTTTCATGTATAGTACACATTTGCATTGTTTCTGGTACATACGGCCATAGGCAGTGGAAAATATCGCGTCCCGTCCGCTCCGCTGAAATCAAGCTACTGACCGGCAGATTAGTAGTTGGGTCGGTGACGACCAGCGAACACCGGCTGCTGTATGTTTTTTTTCCTCTTTTCCTCTTTTCCACTCTTAGTGGCTATCATATCTACCTTTCAATAGTTGCTGTTACGGGTTCTGCCCGTCGCAATTTTTGCTATGAGCAATTGACTTTGGAATACGTTTCCTCGCTTGATTTTTTAGGGTACTAATGGTACAATAATGTCATTCTCGGCTCAAGCACCCGCTTCGACCACGTTGCTCCATCCTTTCGCACTCAAGCTTCACCCTGATCTCTGCTCACCCGCGGCACGTCCATACCGACCCCTTGAGCGAGACCCCAAAGCATCTCATACAAAGCCCACGCTCCGGGATCGGGAAGCTCCTTCGTGGCAGCATCGCCGACATAACTCGCTCTTCCTAGACTCGGCTTGATCCAGCGCGTGGCCAGAGCCTTGTCTCCCGCCACCTGTACGGCAGCCGCAAAGTCGACTGACTCGGCGTACGCATTGGCAAACGGGATAAAAACATCCATCACTGTACGGTCGCCTTCCCTTGCGGGGGTATGTCTCTGCAGGCTGTCAACAGCAGACGCCACAGACTTGGACAGGCGCTCCGATCTGGTGACAGTCGAGGTGGTGTGCTGCTCCACGGGTTGTTTGAGGGCAGAGTAAAATGCTGACAGAAAGATTCCGAAAATAGCTCCTAGAGTGCCGCCCATCTTGTCCAGCGTTTCCATGAGAATCCCGAGAAAGTTTAGCAAGGACCCCCTAGATGCGGCGCCCTTGTCGAGTAAGGACAACACAGCTTCGCACACGTCCTTGACTGCCTCGCCGCAATCCCCATCGCCTATTATCATATCCCATTTTGTAAGATGCGGTTCTGCTGATATGGCAGCCTCGCAGGCGGATCGGACGGCCTTTTCCAGCAGCTTCGCGTCCACGGGAAAACCTCCTTCTGAACCCACGATGTCGAAAAATGTCGTTTTCTCGGCGCTGTGCGATTGAGCGTTTAGTCCGTTGACGCCCGCCTTGCTGACCTGTGGTGTGGCACTCCTGTCAAAGTTGGTAACGTTGGGCCAAGACACCGCCGTCGTTGGCCGATCAAGCAACTCTAAGAGTTTCGAGGTGGTGCTATCACACTGCCTGGCTGCCGCGGATAGGTTAGCTAGGGAGATGGAGAAGCCAGGGGCATTAAGCGATGTCTCAAATGCGCCCATCATGGTCCGGCATGGCCTCAAGCCATATAGTTTCGCTAGCTGAGTTTGAACTTCGTCTGTCAACGCGCCGAGTTCAAGTGTTGATAAGCCCCCGTAGTTGTTTATGAGCATGATAATCTCATCTCCGCTGCCGAACTCGACAAATCCTCTTTCGGGGTCATCTTGATTACACAAGAGAGCAAGACATTGTTTGATGATTTCATCAACAGATGGGAACGGCGTCAGCATGCGCCGGCCTGGTTCGTTGTGGATTCCTGCGCCAATGATACATGTGTCTTCGGCGACCGATTGGTGTTGTCGGCCAGGAACGTGACAGTGATCCAAGGCGGAGCCAATAGATACAGTATGAGCGTTGATGGTTTCAGCAAGATGCACACAGTCGTCGAAGAGCCAGTTCTCAGCAGCCGCAGAACACAGGATTTTCATCGCTAGGTGAAATGACCGTCAGAATCAAATTTGACTGAATCTGGGGTGATGACTTACTGAACACATGGCCGGGAAGACCTCTTCGGCCCACCCTTGAACACTTTCCTCCCAATGGAGACATCATCTGTGGCCGCCACAATAGCAACCTTGCGATTGCCCTGTTGGCCAGACGAGGCTGCCTTTGCTTTGGCTTTCTCGGCAGCCAACCCAAAATGTAATCTGTCGCCGGTGTAGTTGGTAATTAGTAGGATGGTGCCTTGGTCTGAAGGCACGGCGTCCATGGCCGCCAGAACCTGACTCGCGCTTGGCGAAGCAAAGATGTCGCCGCAGGCAGCGGCGGAGAGCAGTCCATCGCCGACGAAGCCACTCCATGCTGGCTCATGACCGGAACCGCCCCCACCAATCACACTCACGCGCGACTGGTCATGGCTTTTGCTCAAGACAACGCGATGCTCTTCGTCAAGAGCCAGGTGAGGGTTTGCGGTTGTCAGGGCTCGAAGCGCTCGCGGAACCAACGTGTTTGCCGCAGTGGAAGGAAAGTAGTGTTTCGTCGACATTGTGTGAAATAAAATGCTGGTCGGTGAGAAAGCGGTTGATGAATTCGTACATCCATTGTCATAGTATAATTGAATCGGCTCATGCTGCAATATAACGTCGCTGAAGCGGGTTGGGCAGATGAAAGGTCGAAATCAAGAGTGTGAGGTACTACATGATGATGTGCCGCGAGACGCGGTCACGCCACCCATGCAGCCAGTGTGTGACGACGAAATCAGCTGGGGCTGCTGCGGACAAGTTCTAACGATGCGGGGTAGTTAAAGAGGCGCTCCGCTTACCATGCCGGTTCATAGCCGGTCCTGCATGTCAATCTGCCAGTTGGCTACTAACTAAGTTGGATTGACTTGCTCGTTAAGCCTTGAATACCCCTTAGATAGGTAGTTACCTAGGTACCTACCTAGGTAGTTACCACCAGTGCGAACCCCACACACTCTGAACCCCCAGCTGGGGCTGCATGAGGCCACTTTCCCCGCATCTGGCCCCCCGAGACGCGACCGAACCCTTATATTAGGTAGCTCATCCCTTGTCCCCGAGACGCATCCTCATCCCTTGCACAGAACGGCACTTGCACAACGCACCAGTGTCCCACACCATGAATGCGGATGAAGGCGAGCGGCGTCGAAAACGCTCTCGAAAGTCGCGCGGCACGGGGCTTCGGACCACCACCGGCTGGTACGTGAAGCGCCATCCTCACCACCTCTTCGCGCTGCGTCTCGTGCCCATGCTGAAACATGCCATAGCTTGACCTGTCGCAAGCGACACAAAAAATGCGACGAAAAGCGCCCCGCGTGTGGCCCCTGCTCTGTCTCGGATCGCCGCTGCATATTTCCCCGGGATTCGGGTACCGCATCGGCTTCGGAGACATCGGCCCAGTGCATGCCAAGAGGAAACTCGAGCCAGGAGCATCAGGAAGCCGAGCCGTCGCCGACTCCGCCTACGCCTACGCCGCCTCGCGTCTCAGACGGCTTTGGCAGCCACATTGGCCAGGCTTTGCCGACTGCTGAGGAGCAGCTCAACGTGCAGAGCGACGGTGGCTTCATTTGCTCCCCGCAGTCCATTTCTTCTCAGACGTGGTCGGCAAACTTTGCCTCGATTCGCTGGCTGGACCTGCTGGCGAATGACGCGGTACAGGCCGACAACAACTATCCCCTGGCTACGGGGCTGTTACTTCCCGATGGACAGACACGGGCTGCGGTTCCAGTGCAAAACAATGCCCTTTTTGTGCATGCTTCGCCTGCGCTACTGAATGGCCAGGCCCAATTGCCAGAGAACTTGGATCCTGAATTGGAGCGTACGGCATGGCAATCTGTCGGAGACGTGGTACTATCCGCACACGAAGCCAGGCTATTCCGTCACTTCGCCGACCGCTGCGCTTTGTGGTTAGATGTTCTAGACCCGTATAAGCTGTTTTCTAGCTACGCCATACGTTTGGCGATTCAAAATACCGGGTTGATGAAGGCCATCTTGGCACTGTCTTCGAAGCATCAGTACAGCGGCGTTGACGCTTCTGCCCGCCAGTTGCGCATCGATTCCGATGGCGACTACGAAGAGGGCGAATGGATCCGCTACTACTACGAGACGCTTCAGTACGTGCGCGAAGCCCTCAAGTATCCTAGCTATTCTCACTCCGAAGAGCTTCTCGCGACTGCTCTCACGATTTCCGTATACGAGATGCTTGACGAATCTGATGGCTCTGGTAACTGGCAGCGGCACCTTAAGGGAATATTTTGGATACAACGGTCGCAAGATGTGGATGGTGGCTGTGGTGGTCTGCGCCAGTCAGTATGGTGGGCTTGGCTTCGTCAAGACATGTGGGCGGCCTTTCGTGAATCACGAGCTTGCCTAAGCTTTTGGGTGCCCAACAAGGCCATTCATGATCTGGACCAGAATGAGCTGGCGGATAGAGCCATTTACAATCTGTCGCAGGCCATCAACTATCGAGCGAATGTACAAGCGGCGGCGGCGTCGCCGGACGGCGTGGACCACGCGAAGCTGAATAAACAAAGACATCACCTCATCTCCATGATGGAGCAATGGAAATCTTGCCTAGGGGATGAGTACAAAGTGTTGCCGACACCAAAGTCCGCGGCAGGCGAAGTATTTACTCCTCTTTGGATTCATCCGCCCCGGTTTGGCGTCGCGCTGCAGGCACACAGCTTTGCGCAGCTTCTGTTGGCACTGCACGGTGCAAGCCCCATGGCGGCGGGTTTTCACGGGTACTTGAAGATGCAGAGAACTCTATCCGAGGCAGTCAATACGATATGCGGCATCGCTCTGCAGCTTAAAGACGAGAGCTGCCAGGTCCTGTCGGCCCAGTGTCTGTATGGGGCCGGACTCTGCGTGACTGATGCGCAGAAGAGGGCCAAAATTATCACATTAATGGAGGAATGTGAGAGGCGTGTCTGCTGGCCACCTATGGCCACCTGGAGAGACGACTTACGTAGGGACTGGGAGAGAGCCGACGCGGACGATTACAGCACGCGCGATGACTGACGACAAACATGTGACTTGTGATTCGGATATTTATTTTTCTACTTGGCCGAATTTTGTATTTTAAGCTTCTAGTTTTAAGCTCGGGGCTTTAAACTTGTATTATTTCAGTTGGCCATGCCAGTAGACTTGCAGACGTCCATCTGCCACTCTGTTAGACGTCGCACCGCTGCGACGCCTTGTTCCATCGACGTTGTTAGACTGAGGGTTGGCGCCACCGTCTTGAGATGGATCAGATAATCGTCCAGCACAAGTTTGTTGACATTGATCTTGGAGACGCCCCCGCTGATGCACCTCCTCATGATGGTTTCTGGGAAATCGTTGGTTCCGTGGAGGACAACGCGCACTCTGCGATTGACCTTGTCATGAATACTCTTCAGCCTGCATTCCCCACGTTAGCATCAGAGCACTAGTTATCATGCGAATGCCGACGCGCGCCGTGCCAACATAAATTTGTACCTGTCAAACTGCAGCTCTGGGCCACGCGGCCCATATTCTCCATGAACGTTGCCAAACGCCGGCGCGAGAAAATCGATACCAGTCGCAATAAAATCTTCGACCTGCTCCGCCGTCGTCAACGCGCCTTCGAGGTCCTCGGTGCTCGCGATGCCATCCTCGCCGCCCTCTATCCTCCCAGGCTCCGCCTCGGTAGCTATTCCGCGCTCGTGGCAGTACTTGACCAGCGCCGCTGTCTTGGCCAGATTCTCATCCATGTCGTAGTGGCTCATGTCCACCATGATGCTGTCAAAGGGGAGCGTGTCGGCCGCGTGCCGAATCATGGCCTCGTCCTGCGCATGATCCAGATGGATCGCGACGGGGACCGAGGCCTGTTTTGCTGCGTGGGCGGCCGCAACGACCAAAAGACCGGACGAAAAGGTAATGGCCCATGGGAATACCTGGATGATGAGCGGACTGCGTTTTGCCTCGGCCGCTTGAATAAAGGCTATGATTTGCTCGATGTTGTATGCAATGGGGGCAAGGACACCGTAACCCTTGTCCTCGGCATCTTTGAGGATTTGGTATGTTTTGTTCTTGGAGGGATCCCAGACAGCCATGGTGTCGTGATTGATGGAGCAGTAGACCTTTGCGTGGAAGTGCGCGGTGAAGGATCTGTCAGTGCCACGGTCGCGTTGATTCCGTGAAGTAGGCAAAACCTAACTACTGCAAGTTAGGCCCTTTCGTAGAATTAACAATGAATTAAATGTAATTTATTGAGCATTCGAATAGCGCTGCCCAATTCCGCACCCGCAACTTATGCTGGCGCCACCAAAGTGTCACCGGACGACCGCGTCTCGGGGCACAAGTATCCAATACCACATTGGCGACAATTCAGACGTCGCCGTAAGAAGTTGGTAATCTGGCCACCAACGTTTGGAACTCTAGAACAGACTGCATAGTTTAGATCCCTATTGAATATAATTTCCGAGTTTACTGCCCTCCTATCTCATTCAGCTTTGAGTTCTCTACCCACTACATACACAGCCCGGTAATTGCCACAGCATAATGTCCACCAAGCTTCGCATTGCCATCGGCGGCGACGATGCCGGTTTCTCATACCAGTCCATCATCTCGCGCGACTTGGCCTCTGACCCCCGCGTCGCCCAAGTCATCCAGGTCGGCCCAGCTTCAGAGTCCGACAAGACGGCCTACTCGACCTTTGCCATTGCCGCCGCCGAAGCGGTGGCCAATGGTACCGCCGACCGTGCGATTCTGATCTGCGGCACCGGACTCGGGGTGGCCATTGCTGCCAACAAGGTTCCTGGTGTGCGCGCGGTGACGGCGCATGATAGCTTTTCTGTCGAGAGGGCGGTGTTGAGCAATAATGCGCAGGTGCTGTGCCTGGGCCAGAGGGTTATTGGCGTCGAGCTTGCGAGAAGGCTTGTAAAAGAATGGTTGGGCTACACATTTGATCCTGTGAGTTCCGCTCCTTCCGCCCATTTGCTGCGTGCGCTCATGTTTTTCCCTACTCGGCGTCGGCGGACAAGGTCAGAGTTATTGATGAGTATGATGCGAAGGTCTTAAAAAAAGCGGCTGTGGTTGTTTGATGGATATTGTATGGTGTACATACTGTCCTCTGCCTGGATATCTGATTTATATTTCAGGTATTATAGAAGGGGAGGGATAAGGAGCTGGGCACAATCCTGCATTCTTAAAAAGATAGGGCCTGGCATGGCAGGTTTCCAAGCTCTTCATTTTGTGGTTGACATGGATAAGCTGATCTCTTCTTGGGATTTTGGTGTGTGGCGTGTTATGCGACGAAGCGTTGCAACCATTTGCCGAAACGAACCACATCAATTAGGGACTACTCATATTAATCAAACTTGAATTCCGGCTCTACCAGACCAGTCATCACTTTTCATTCAAGCTCAACACTCTACCTATTGATATTCGTATAAGCCTGTATAAAGGTATAGGGTATGGGGGCATCACTCCGTAAGAGGATAATGGTGCGAAACACTTCACAAATCCCACGGGGCAGAATTCAAAAGCGAAAAAATACAGTCAATTTCCATTGCTACACGGAGATAACCTTTCAACTCCAATTCACCAGGCTCCAACAATGCCAGCTATCGGGATATCGATACCCGTCGTGTACGTCGACGTCTCACTCAATAAATACACATAAGCCCCGCCGAGTTCCTGCGGCAGAGCCAAACGAGGCATTCCACCGTAATTCTTCATCTTGGTGCCCCATTCCGGGTCCTTCTCAACAAAATACGTCAAGGCAGTCTTGACGAATCCGGGCGAGATGCTGTTGACGCGGATGCCATACTTTGCCCACTCCATGGCAAGAGTGTGTGTCATGTTGCGCACCGCTCCCTTTGTTGCGCCGTAGGGAGCTGATGGGGCAGCCTAGTTCCAGTAAGTTAGCGCGCGTTGTCCTTGACTTGAGCTTCTATCGACGCCTATGCGCGAGGGATACGTACTCTGTTTGGGCGGTACGACGTCATGCTCGCAGTAAAGACGATGCTGCCCGGGCAGCCGAGCTTAATAAACGTCCTCGCCGCCGCCGTGGCGCAGTTCCACGAGCCATAGACATTCAGCTCAAAAAGCCTCTTGACCTGGTCCATGGTAAAATCGAGCGCGGGCTGGTGCTTGGTGGCGCCGGCATTGGCAACCATGCCGTCGAAACGCTTCTTCTGGGCGACGATGGCGTCGAGCGCGCCCTGCACGCTCTCTTCCTTGGTAACGTCACAGTGCTGGAACTCGAGGCGGCCCGGGAAGCGCTTCGCCAGGTCGGCAAAGGCCTCCGCGGGTTCAGAAATGTCCAGGCTGAAGACGGAGGCGGCGTCGTTGCTGAGGCATACCTCGGCAAGGGCCAGACCGATGCCTTGGTTGGCGCCAGTGACTGCGTGGTGTTAGGATACAGCTTGTTTTGAACGTCCGAGAGCTTGCTTACTGGCAATGACTTTGTCTTTGAGATTCACGCTCCAGTCATGGTTGGGGCCCGGCAGCGTGCTCAAAGTGGTGGGTTGGGGCGAGACGCTGTCGTCGTGCCCAATTGCGCCGTTAGCTGCTGCAACCATTGTGTCAAAGAGTATTTGTAAATGAATAAGAAAGGGTTTGGAAGGGACAAGGCAACGATGATGATTTTTTTTAAACCTGTCGCGATTTAAATATAGGTCATATAATTTCCTTTAGACACGATGACCTTGCCGATGTCAAAAGCCGACGTGGCTGAGCATAGTAGCTACCCGCACTTGCATCAGCCCCAAGAAACGCCTCGCCGTTCTGGAAGTGAAAAAATGGCCCGACACGCGGTCTCGGGGCTTGCCGTTGGCTCATGTGCCGAAGAAACCATCATGGATTGTCTACGTGGGTGCGCGAGACGCGGCCATTGTTGTGATTTAAGTGGAGATCACAGTACACACAATTAGCTAGAGACCTACTTATAATAGAAAGCTAGAAAGGGATAGTAGTATATAGATAAAAGAGTTAAGTTTAAAGAAACTAATCTTAATTATTAATAGAATTAAGTAATAAAAAGATATATTAAAAAAGTATAATTAAGCTAATTAACTAGGCTAAAAAATAAATATAAAAAAAAAAGATTTTTTTTTAATTAAAAATAAATAAAATAAAAATAG